TGCATTGCTTGGCGGCCCAACTTCTTGAATGCCCTCGTGGGTCTCGTACTGCAAGGTACATGCCAAATCATCAGAAATTACAGATGGGGTTGCTGCAGAAACATCTGCCCTGCACGCAGCAAGGCCCTCATTATCTCCGTTGCCTTCGCTCACTGGGCGGTGCTGGACGGACTCGCTGCTGGAGAGGTTGGGCATTGGCGTTGCGTCTCGCAGCTCCGTCTGCTGCTGCTGCCTGCCACATTGCAAGAGCTCGGCAGTGAAGTCCTCATCGTCACTTTCGCCATTGTATGCTTGGGTGCAAGCATACTCATTGACATGCGCAAGAAAACGTGTCGTGCTTGCTGTAGTTGTAGCTTCATCGTTCTTTGTTCTCGGGCGCTCGGCGTTTCCTTCAGCCGCCTGGTCTGGGCTGTCCTCAAGCCCATATGCCTGTGTCGAAGGAAGACCATCAGCAAAACTCTCGAATGCAGCTACGTCTTCGCAGTACAGCTGCGTGCATGCGAGCTCTAATTCTGCTTGAGGGCCCGCTGCCATCGATCCTGCATGCCATTCGACGGGCTGATCGTCAGCGTCGCTTTCGTGCAAATCTTGGTACGGCCTCCCTGCCTTACTGCAGAGGACAGATTCTGAGCTGCTTAGTCGTCTTGTCTCCCCGCCCAGCAACCCACGCAGATTACAATGGCGTTGTTCGCACTTGGCCATTGCTGAGCTTCATGGAACACAACTAACCGTGTAAACAGACATGTGAGAAGCTAAACTTTAAACCGCTTGGTGCATCCGGTAGACAATATGATGTCATAGTATCTAGATTCGATGCTGTTGAGATACATCAGAATTATCTCACTGCCAAGCCGAAAAAGCTGCAGCACAAAACACTCCCGCACATGCGAGTGCCCATCATTCGGCTGCTGTCGTCGCCCTGACACGTTGCAAACTCCATCGATTCCACGCGCCCCAGCATCTCCGGGAGTGCTGACACCGCCCATCAGATCCCCATGCATGCCAGCTGCAAAAGCTGAATTGATGGAATGTCACAAACACCGGCGCTTGCATGGCTCCTCATTTAGCTCCTTCCGCGGGAGCTGGACTAACGAGCTTCACCCTTACAAACAATACAGGCCTTGGCCTTTTTGTCATTGTCTGCTGATCTTTTGATGCCTGGACAGAGCACCGAATCCAAGTTGCATTCAACTGCAAAGTCTCCATACAGAGCCCTGCCACCGCCAACTCCCACCCCCTTGCCTTGCCGAAACTGACGCAGGCACAGGGTTTTGGTACATCGGGTTCTCCTCAGATCAACTTCGCATCGAGCCGCACTCGGCACATCTCCGCGGGTCCCGCACTCTCCCAGGGCCGCACTAACCTCGATTCAAAAAGCGATGCCACAGTGCCGAAGGGCAAGTCCTCCCCACCCTAGAGCCAACTATGCAACTCAGCTTCGAGCCTCAAGGGTGCAAGCAGCGGCTCGCACCACAAACGCTGCCGCCAGGATCTGGCATCAGGATTGGGTCCGGAAGCATGCAACCGTCTCCGTTACGGTGCAGGCTGGGGTCTGCTCAGCCCTATCAGCAGGTGCAGGACGCGAATACCGCCACTATGCGCTTGAATTTTTAAGGGGTCCACCATTAAGCCTAAAGCAGGAAACCCCCCAAACCCTGTCCTTAACCCTGAGCCGATGGGCCCATCACGCGATTGTGGCGCTTTGGCCTAGCCTGGGCCCCCTCGAGGAGCAGAAACGACTCCAAGCACCGCCTTACTCGGAGAGGGCAAAAGAAAGAAAAGATAGAGAAATAGATAAATAGAGAGAGAGAGAGAGAGGCAAAGAGAGGAGCACTTCGGTTTCTGAGGCCCTGGCTGAAGCACCAGGCCAGCCAAGCAGGCCTCATCTTGCTCTCTTCTCGGCTCAAAATGAAAACGACGGCCCTTTGGGAATCCTGGCTGCAAGAGAAGCCGCCGCCACGGCCTGGAGACCCAGCAGAGGTCCGCCTAGTCGAGCCACGAAGCTACTCGCACTCCCTCTCCGCGTCTCTCCTCGCCTTTTTTCAGCGGCACGCCTCGATGGACCTCCGCGAATCACCCTCTCAGCGAATGCGCCAAGGAGCCTATTTCAGCCAGCGGCGGTGGCTTTTCTGGGCCGCAGTCGCAGTCGCCGTTGGCGTATGGCAGACATGTCTCATGCATGAGGACCCCGAAGACACGGACTCTGCTGCTTTGTGCGCATGTGGCAGACGTTCCTAGTATTGAGCAACGTTTGCAGTGGTCTGCTTCGTTGTGTTAACCGACATGTGAAACTGCAGCGAAAACGGCGGAGATGGCCTAACTTCCTGCAACCGCATTTCTGTGGACTGCAGACCACAAGCTGCATCGGGACGGCTGTCTTATCACGCGGCACGATCTCAAGACGGACTCAGCAGGTGGCCCAGGACCGACACGAATCAGGCGGGCGTGATGCCCTTATGTACATGCCTCCTCCGCCTTCAGCGGCTGGATCCTTCCAGCTAAGGCAGCTAAGGACTTGGCTGCGGCGCGCTGCCGCACAGAGCTTGACAGCAAGACCTAGTACAGGCTGACTTCAGCAAGTCTCGGGTAGCGCAGACATGCTGCAGAATTTTCCAACAAGCCTTATCTGTGATGGAGACCGGGGACTTGCATGTGTCCAGACCATGTCCGAGACTTCAGCAAGCGGAAAACCCATCGTTGCAAATGAATTGGAAGCAGCCTCCAGCGTTGGCACTTGCCCTGGAAGACGCAGGCTATCCCAGGCTAGTCAACTAGTCCACACAACACTTTGCAGCCACCATTTGTCGGCAATGTGCCGTGCCGAAACCCCCTGTCTTTCCATGCACTGACACCGTGAGTAGGATGCCGCTCACGAGTCCACAGAACCATCCGACCAAACCTGTGGCAAAGGGGCCGTGCACTGAGACAGAGAATAGGAGTCGAAGCGAGCCTCCGATCATAGCTCCAACGGGAATGGAGAGACCGAATGTCAGTAGAGCAGGAACGAGACCACAAATGGCACCGACGAAGCCTGGCTCACAGAGTTATTAACATGAAGCTGCCCCTGGTGAAACCTGAGAGACTCCCAAGAGCCTCCACCAGCCATGCCCAGGGTTCCGCAGCCCAAGCTGATCCTGAAGTATCCGCTGCCGCACCCCTCCTTCTTCTTCTTTTCTCTGAGAGCCGGCCCGGCAGCCGAGCGGCATGGAGCCTCCGAGCAGCGTGGGAGCCGCGCTCAGCGCTTGGAGGCTCCACTTCGGAGCGGCCGAGGTTCCCGGAGCCTCGGAGGGAGCGGAGAGCGGAGAGCGGAGAGCGGAGAGCGGAGAGCGGAGAGCGGAGAGCGGAGAGCGGAGAGCTCTGAACTTTGAGCTTGAACCGTAGAAGGCCACGTGCCGAAGGGCGACGATCCTCCTTCGAAGGACGGTTTGCAGCTGTCGACAAGTGCCGATGCCGAGGAGCTTCACCTCAACCGGACAAATCGACAGCGATAGCCCCTTGACCCCCCTCCTTCGATGCATGAGCCCATGCTGTCAAGGTCGCATAGGTGCTCACAGCACCAACGGTCCATTCTGCCAGTACTGCCTCTAGCTCTGCAGCTTTCAAGTCGTCCCTTGGCCCGGCACTGGGCCCCACCTCAGTGAAGAGTTCTCAAGTCCATACCACCCGCAGGACATTCTCAAGCCATCTCAAGTTCAAGCAAGCCACGGGCCGAGGGTCGGCGCAATTTCGATCACCGAGCCTGGGAGGTTCGGCCCAGCACCTCTCCCGTGCATCTCGCGGCGTGTCTCGCGGCGTCAGCTGATGCGTCAGGCCTTCAAAAGCACTTTCGGAACTCCAAAAAAAGCTCGACCTTTGCCTGCACCTGCAAAGCTAAAGATAGTCTGGGATTCCGCACCGGCAGCGCAGGCAGCATCCTGCGGTCCGAAGAGAAAACGCCGCACTGGGCTTGGCAGGAGCTGTGCAATCGGCCGTCCTCGGGCTTCCGGGCTTCCGGGCTTCGAGCTTCAGAGATCTTCGGGCAGTTGGGACTCTCTGACACTCTGCAGCCTCGGCACTAAAGAGCACCTCTTGGAGCTCCGGCCCCAGGCCGCTACGGATGCTCTTCTGCTCTTCCTCGTCCAAAGTGAAGAAGAGAAGCATGGAGAAACGGGTGACGTTGATTATCCTCTGTTTTGCGGCGATGGTGATGTCGTGTAGGACGTCGAACCTCAGCTGCCGGGAAGGACTGGAAAACGCAGCACGTCTGAATGCTTGCCCGGGAGGCAGCGGGCGCCGGAGAACGCCCGGCACCTTTCGAGGGCAGCAGATCTTCGATCAAGCAGGTCGAATCTTGTTGAGATATATAGGCCGTGATCGGCCTCGCTGCTCACCAGCGCCAGCAGGCCCTTCCGCCAAATGGCCAGACATAAGGCGGCCACCAGCCTACAGAAAGTGTGCAGTCAGATCAGACAGCAACTGGGGAGATCCAGCGTCCACAGGGCAGTCTGAAAGCGTGCTGCAGAGGCACGCAGATACCGCAACTGCTGTAGATCCCAGGACCAGGACGCCCAGGTAGCTCCACTGCTGCTGTGGCGTCCTCAGTGCTTAAGCATCACATAAACACGCCAATGGAGCACTGAAACAGGAGCCAAGGCTGCTACCAAAGCATCTCTACCACAGACATCTAAGGTTCAAAGCTCCGAAACCGAAAAAGCACAGCGACATGGTTGAGCTTCCGATACCATGTTGATTCAGAGAAGGTGTGGATCATTTATCTCTCCTATGCTATGATCGGTCTTGGGTTCGACTGACGCAGCCGTGCGAAGTGGAAAATGTCTTGCAATGAGTCGAACAGACTCGGGAAGATCAGAATGCGTGGAGTAGGCCTCTCATCTACGTCTATGCACAGTAGCACGCACATGTAAGAATCTCAGCGTGCTACATCTTGAACCCTACTTTCTCACAATGTGTGTGCTGATGGGCTGAGATTGCTTCGCAGGAGGAAGGGAGTTCGACCCAGGTCCTTGCCTGGACACTGAAAAACACAGCGCTCACCACAGGAAGCACCTCCTGATATCCCACTTGTCCATGGATCCTTCGTAAGCGCCGTAGGGTCCGACGGTGACACCTTCAGGGCCGTCCGGACGCAGACCCTCCTGCGCAGCCCACTCCTGGAGCCACGTCCAGGCATCCGCTCGCGGCCAGCGCCGAGGATGAGGACCCTCCGCTTGGTGAATCACGTTCAGGCCGTTGTAAACCTACAGGACGGGATTCAGAAATCTGACGAAACAAGATGTGTTTCTGTTCACACGTCTCGCCTCCATGAGCAGCATGTGCTGAAGCGGCGCCTCTTCTTCCTCTTCTGTGGATTCTGCCGTGATGGTCATGACCCAGAAGCTGCTCTCACGGGCCTTAACCCTGCTGAGATACTTCATCAAGCTCATCCCGCCTCTCCTTTCGGCACGAAGGCAATTCTTCATTGTCTGACCAACATGCTGCAGGTACTCGAAGCTGAGGATTTCGTCTATGCGGACCGTGGCCTTGCGCAGGAACTTCGGATCCTGCAAGAAGCTCTGCTCGGCTGCACAGGGCTCGTAGGTGTCCCCGTGCCAGCTGTTCGGCGGCTCCGGTTCACGGAAGTTCGTACCTTCCATGCCTAGCATTGCACGGAGTCCCTGTGGCAGCACTTTGCCACCTGGGGAGTCTTCACTATACGGTGAGCCGAAGGCTGCCAGAACTCCTTTCTTCACAAAGCCTCTGATCTTGCCTGGGTTCGGCAAGAAGCGCTGACCGCTCATCTGTAGTCGCTGCAGTTCGAGCGTGGCTGCATCTTTTCTTGCAGCCTCCAAGACTTTCTTGGGTGCCCGTGGGTTGCCAGCAACAACCAGAGAAAACTTCGGGTCCAACATGCGTTGCGCAAGTAGCCACTCGACCGCCTGAGCTGCTTTGCTTGGGTCCTGCAACTCCTCCTCCTCGGCGAAGCGGCAAGCCCACGACAGGATGCTCAGAGCAAACTCTTCCTCCTCTTCGCTGCCCAAATCCTGGCCCGACACACGGAGACTAACGCGGGTCTTTGGAGTTTAAAAGTCAGGGTCGGGGCTCAGGCTTGGAGTTCCACGCAGTTCACGTCCTTGCCAAGCTGTGTTCTGGCCAGGGCCTCTGCAAAGATTGCGGGGCCGCCAAGGGTCTCCATCTGCGCGCGCCTCAAAGCCAGCAAGGGGCTCGCCAGGATCACAGAGAGCGGCTGCACGTGCTGCACGCTCTCGGGCACTTCTACAGGGGGCGGAGGCGGAAGTTTGGCATCGCTGCTTTGTAAAAGCCTGCTCACCATCTTTTTGGAAAGATTGGGTGTGAGCAACTCTTGAGCGGCTGCGACAGGTTTTCGGTCTCCTCTGCAAACTTCTGCGAACAGGAGCGCGAAACGGGTGCACAGCTGAATGCCGGCTCCGCTGCACAACACTACCTCACGCCCGGGACGCTCCCGTAGAGTCCCACCAGCACCATCACTCCAAGTGAAGGCACCGGCAAGTGTCATTGGCGCATCATCATATTGTGTCATGAGGTGTCTAAGGAGGCTCTCAAGCTTTGGCAGGGCTTCAAGGCCAGTCATGGGGCCCTCGGGGCCGTCTATATCCGCCATATCTACCTCTCCTCCATCTTTCAGCTCTTCGGCCTCCCAATCCGCTGGGTCCCTGAGCCACTGCTCACGTGGAATCAGCACCGCGAACCGGAGCAGCGGACCGACGCCACAGCTCCAGGTCGCCAACAACTCCGGTGCCCGACGCTGGCAGAGGCGCAGCAGCTCGGACCACGCAGCCACGCAGGCAGAGGCATCGGCCTGAGGCTGCGCTTCCAGCAGCGAAGGCCTCGGCTCTCGCTGTGTCCCATTGGACACGCCAATCATCACACCAATTGCAACAAGAAGGCATGTTGCAAGTTCGACAACGGAAGCACACTGCAGTTACAAACTGGATCTCCCTCTGATTCCAAAGCATCGCATCTCACCCGCCCCGCCCCCCCCTCCCCGCCACATGCAGCGGCCTTTCTCATCACCATGCGGTCGCACGGTCTTCTTCTGCTGCACTTAGCGATAGACTCGGATAGACACTCAAGCAGACAAATTCCAATGGAAGATGATCCACGATTTTGGGAGGAGAGGCGTCGGCAGAACTTCGGCGACGTTTCAAGCTGGACTTAGTGCTCGGAGAGTCCTACGTTCTGGGCCAGCTGCGACCGTCTCCGCCGCGGTCTGCGCAGAACCCAAGTACTGCAGATCTTGGCATGCCAACGCCTCTCTACCTCTACCGGACACCCTGCGGGACCTGATTACAATCCACGCGACTCTGGTCGCGTTGTGAACCCCACAAGGACAGCAGATGACAAGAACAATGATGGAGGGAACAGAACCAAGTGGGGATTACAGCCCGCGACAAGAAACCGAGCACCACGTCTCAAGCCAGACTGCCTCAACCACTCCTCCCTCCTAACTTTCAAGGTAGGGAGCCAGACCTCTCAGAACCTTATAGGGCACGCGAGCGGGTGGAGCGGTAAATGGCGATAAGGAGACAACAATGCACCCATTTCCGATCCCAGCATTGCCCCTTCAACCCATGCATTTTGTCTAAACAGAAAGCAGAGGAAAAATGTGCCTTTGCACTCCTGAGGAACAATGCATTTTGAGAATGGTTTAGGTCTTTGGTCATATGAGAAGTTGCTTTCCGGCAGTCTGTCACGGCGCTGCCTGCGCTAACAGCTGTCTTTCTTTCGCCAGGGCTGGAGGAAGCAGGTTGCACCGCGCAAGTGCGCCCACCACACACTGGGGGGACCAACGGTTAAACGCAAACCACGCCTCTTCCGGAAAAGCGACCTCTCTCTTTCTCGCTCTCAGCTTTTCGCTGCCTCCTCTCTCTTACTAATTTCAATCAAGTTTTGGCTTCCCAACAGGAAGCAATGGACATGACCAACAGGCCAGTGCTAAAGAGCGTCAGTTGCCTCTGGGCTGCCACGATGTGTAGCTGCGAAAGGGGCAGCTCAACAGGCTCTGCACGAGACGATCTGTTGGTGGAGCCTCTGCGGATTGGAGGCTCGTAGATCCCAAATTGACGCTCGCGCGGCGTTGCCTCGGCGGCAAGCAACAGCATGTTTGTTTACGGGCCAATTTAGATAGCTTGCTAGCTAGCTAGACCGGGTTGCCGACCAGCCGGTGAGCGAGGGAGTGAGCGAGTGAGTGATTTACCTACTTCGTCGTTTGCCTGCTTAGATTTTTTGTCTATGTATGCATTCATTCTTTCTTTCATTCAATCACTAATTCATTCATTTATTCATTCATTCATTCATTCATTTCATCCCCTTGCCTGTTATTTTATCTCTGTTGAAACCATTCGCTTATCTTTTGTACTTCATATCAGTTTTATTGACTATTTGTGCATGTATTCATGATTTTACTTGCGGCTTTCATTGCTGCACGAGTCACACCTGGATGGTGATTGCAAAGGGTTGCAGACACGAAAACTTCCCCATGTTTTCCCATTTATATGGAAAACTTTTCAAGGCGCTATGCTTGCTCGACGAGGAGGTGGCTGCCGTCCGTGGCCATGTAACCCAACACGGGATCGGGAACAACATACATACATACAGACATACATACATACATACATACATACATACATACATACATACTTTTGCACTTTTCACGTTGCAGAGTCGAGCTCGGCTGGCGCTATTGGAGGACAGGCGTATGGCCCGGCAAAAACTGTAACACATCCTCCCCTACTGGAAACAACTCAGCCCCCGGTACGAGTACCCACATAAAAAGCGGGGCGACCACTAGCACTGCTCGTAACAACAAAGGTAAATATCACCACTGAGTCTATCAACATCATCCTCATCCAAGGGGACGGCACGAATGTTATCATCCGTAAACCAAAAACGATGGTTAGCATCAAGGAGCAATGCTCTGTAGTGGCCTCGAGTCGGGGCCTCTCCTAAGGGAACGATGATCGCCCGAAGGCGAAACGACCTTGTCTGGCAGTGGGCCTGGCCTATACAAACTCCGGAAAGTCAATGAATCGTGAAGGATGCACCCTGTATCGACGTTTAGTTGCCTGGCCCCTGCTGTCATCGTAGTGGAAACGACCAATCTGCAAAATCATGGCTGGAGCCAAGAGCGATGCTGCATGGGTGGTCTCTTGTCGATGCCAAACGTCAATAAGACTCTGAACATCACAAGACATGCTTCCATCACTCTCAACCTCGCACGGCGGGAGGAGGCTAAGAGGGACAGAGTGGCCCTCGTCAAGGACTTGAAGTCGCCCTTGTTGCATCTCCCTGGCTTGCCAAAACACTTCTACCCCGCTCGCCTGGAGAAGCGTGCCGTGGTCTGGAGGCCCCCGTGGCGGACTTCCCGGTGGTCCTTCCCTCTGCACTCTTCCTTCTTTGGACTCGGCTGCCCTGCCGCCTGACTGCCTCCCCGACGCCCCGGTCTCGCTGCCCGTTTCAACCCCTCCTGTGCCGGCTGATCCTCCCCCTCCTCTTCCGACAACACCGTTGGCCCCTGGGCCTCCTGCCGACGAGGATCTCGTCTCACTATCGTCTGAGGAGTCTGATGCTCCGCCCGCAGAACAGGAGGACGTTGACGACTGGGAGGCTGATCTGGTCGAGAAAGCGGCCATCAAGGCTGCATCT